ACACCCCCCCCCCGAATTTCTGTTCCGCAGGAGCAGCATTTCAGAAGGCACTTTGAACTGCAGTGAGAGGGGAGAGGCAAGAAAGTTGTGCTCCATGGGGTGAAATTGTTCTGTCCGCAGAAAACCTCAGTCGGAGCCAAGCAATGCTCCCTCTAAGCTGTGGAATCTTGTGAGCAAAAATTCTACTTTGTGAGCGGCCGGCATTAAAGTTGTGAGCAGGCGACTTGGCTACTGCATAAATTAGTTTGCTCTGGAGCCATCCTTCTTGAGCTAAGATAAAAATGTGTGAGCTGGAGGCTAAAAATCTGTGAGCTAGCTCACACTAACTCAGCTTAGAGGGAACACTGGATCCAAGTCAGTATGTTTACGTCCAAATATGTTTTGGACCTTACACAGCAGTCATGCTTTGAAAGGCTCATGAGCCAGGCTGACATTCTAACCAGCAGGGGGCAACAGTAACCTAGAACACTATTGGGGAAGCAGGTCAGGAGAGTTAAAAAGCAAAGGTATAACCCTGTCAATGGCCTGTTCTTAGTCCTGTCTACCTACTTTCTCCTCTCAAAACACTTTGCTAGCTTGGACAGCAGAGGGACAAATGGGGGAAATGGAGGTTCATCCATGGAGCTTTGAATGTGTTCGTCGTTACCTGCACTTGGCAGAATATCTGCCAACAAAGAAGCCTCACTGGGGAAAGGAAGTCTGGGTTCTGAGGTCTGCACTGCCAAGCTTTCTGAAGTTCAGTTTCACCTCTCACCTCTGCCTGCGACAGACAGTCTGAATCGAGGACTCTGCACTGTAATGTGTAATAAAGAACTCCAAATGGAATAGATAATGCCTGTCAGATCACCATGCATTTACGGAACTGACATGCTGTTATTGCAGATGTTTTATTCATTTCTTGAATTTTGAATATCTTTTCCCCCTTGTATTGTCACACACTGGAAAACAATTGCTGCAGGAAGCTGGGGTGGGCGGGCAGGGACAGGGGTTAGAGGAGGAACCAATCGTCTGTCCCCTCCCCCAACCTCTGGAATTCTTTCCCAAGCCTCTTAGGGCTTCTATCTGGTTTCGCATTTTCTCCCATCGATACATTCTAGAACACTGGACCCAATCTAGAGAAGTGTGCCTACTAAATTGTGCTACATATGAGAACTTGCATGTACACACAGGAGGCAGGTGGACCCCCTCAGAGTAAAATAGCCATTCACTTCAACGTACAAAAGTGAATATCACAGAGACCAGAGGTTGGGCCTGTCTCGTTTGATCTGAGACAGACCTGTGGATCCACTCTTCCCATCCATGAGAGAAGTCCTGGCTTTCTGTACATCTCAGGAAGGCTATGCCAGACTCTTTTCATACATCGCCCCACCCCCATTGCATATGGCTCACCACCTAGTGGTGCATAACGCTAAAGAGCTAGAACGTCTGGCTGCCAGACAATCATAGAATCTCCTGGCTATTCTACAAACAATGCCGTACGATAATTAATTAATTAGCTAAGATGAACATCACCCACTAGCTGTGTACAGCTTGCCAGGAGATGCTTCACTGAGCGCATGAACACATGAAGCTGTTCTATACTGAGACTATTGGCCCATCACATTCAGCATTGTCTACTCAGACTGGCAGCAGCTCTCCAGGGTCTCAGGCAGAGGTTGTTCACATCACCTACTGCCAGTCCTTTAACTGAAGATTCCGGGGACTGAACCTGGGACCTTCTGCAGACCAAACAGATATTCTACCACCGAGCTATGGCCCCTCCTCTTTCTCTCCCTCTCCGTACCTCCCACAAACTTTTCTCATCTTAGGCCAGTAGCAACAAGATTTCTTAAACCCCCGGGAACACAAGTGATACAAGCCTACTGGACTGTGTGGAGGAGACCTGTGTCATGATTTCTAGTGTGATCACCACTATATACATTCCTAGACAACACTGCTGGCAGTTCATTTCAGAGCTGTAGTCCGAATGAGTTTGTTTTCTCAGGGAAATTTCTGGTGCTGCTCATACTGTTTGTGACTGTGGATGCTATATTTTCTTTGGGCAAACCTATACAATACATAGAAGACATGGAGAAACAGAATAGGGTGCCACTGAGTTACATTAGACACCACAAACTTGACCTTGTCCCTTTCTAGGCATCTGAAGGGTGTCATTAATCAGCATTACTGCCTGGGTCTGCCACTTCTAATTGCCAAGGTAAATTAGAATAGCTCAGGCAGTCTAGATTGAACAGTGGAAGTTATAAAAGGGCAGCAATCATGAGGTGAGGGGAGAGAAGCTAATTTAACACTGGAGATCATGCCTATCTAATTCATTAAGGATCAATTTTCATAAAATTAAGTGCTTCAATAGCATGGAGCAATTGGGAGGCATAACAGTGCTAATTAATACGACTTGAATTCACGGAGTGGGTGCTCCATGGCTCACTCCTAACTCCTATCTGAAGGGTGCAATTGTGAGATTTCCTGACTACCACCATTTGTTACAGACATGGACAGTTTCTAAAGAAAAGCAGGGGAACTGCCTTCTATCAGTGTGCTAGCTTCTGTTCACTACATTTGCTCCCACTTGTGCTAACAGGTCAATGTTGAGATTCTGATGTTATATGCAAATAAATGGTATATGCAAAGGAATTTATATTGCAAATGTAGAGAATTAATCAATTAAAAATTCTGCAAACAGCCCCTGAGATTGTGTACTTCCAGTTGCTGGGACATGGATGCAAAGTTACAGTCTTTCATAGGGATGCTGAGAATTTTGCCAGGTAGACTTCTGACAGTTTAACTTAATATGTTCAGTGGTGCTCGTCAGGTACGAGTTGAATGCCTTGTGAACTGATCTGAGAGCCAGCATGATGTAGTGGTTAAAAGCAGTGGACTCTAATCTGGAGAACCAGGTTTCATTCCTGTCTCATCCACATGAAGCTTGCTGGGTGACCTTGGGCCAGTCACAGTTCTCTCAGAACTCTCTCAGCCCCACCTACCTCACAAAGTGCCTCTCGTGGCAAGAGAATGAGAAGGTGATTGTAAGCTGCTTTGAGACTCCTTAGAGCAGAGAAAAGCAGGGTAAAAAAACCAACTCTTCTTCTTCTACATCAGGTTTGGTGTAGCGGTTAGTGTGGACTCTAATCTGGGAGAACCGGGCCTGATTCCCCACTCCTTCACATGCAGCTGCTGACGTGACCTTGGGTCAGTCACTCTCAGAGCTGTTCTCTCAAGAGCAGTTCTCAGAAGAGCTCTCTCAGCCCCACCTACCTCACAGGGTGTCTGTTGTGGGGAGGTGAAGGGAAAGGAGATCTGTAAGCCACTCTGAGACTCCTTCGGGTAGTGAAGAGTGGGGTATAAATCCAATCTCTTCTTCGTCTTCTTCTATTGCACCCCCAATTGATTGACAGCTACTACCATCGCTTAGAGGTTAAGATGCTGAGCTACAGGCCAGAAGGTCCGTAGTTCGGCAGTTCAAGACTCTAGTGCCACGTGACGGAGTAAGCTCCCGTCTCTGGCCCCAACTCCTGCCAACCTAGCAGTTAGAAAACAAGAAATTGCAAGAAGATAAATAGGTACCGCTTCGGTGGGAAGGTAACAGTTTTCTGTGCGCCTAAGCATTTAGTCATGCCAGCATCATGACCACAGAAACGTCTTCGGACAGCTCTGGCTCTTCGGCTTGGAAACAGAGATGAGCACTGCCCCCTAGAGTCAGACTTTACTAGCTTACGAGCAAGGGAAACCTTTACCATCGCTAAAGAAAACTTAGACCAGTACCAAAGGGTAGGATTTTACTGAAATCCAGCATTTATTTATGACTGGTTTGTAAGCTATCAGTTGCACAGCAAGGATGGAGGTACACTCAACTGGGCTGGTAAGAACACAAATGTGTGAAAGGCTAATTGCACAGTACTGCATGTTTAGAAAGGAATACAGTGAAACAACCTATCAAACCACAATGAACAGACTGACTATCCAACCAGTCAGTGAAAAATCAGATTCTTGTCCGTGACCATTGAACAGAACACTGAACAGAACAGTCAGGAGGGGCCGTGGCTCAATAGCAGAGCATCTACTTTGCATGCAGAAGGTCCCAGGTTCATTCTCTGACATCTCCAGTTGAAAGGACCAAGGTAATAGGTGATGTGAAAGACATCTCTGCCCGAGATCCTGGAAAGCTGCTGCCAGTTTGAGTAGACAGTGCTGAGTTTGATGGACCAAGGGCCCGATTCAGTATAAGGCAGCTTCATGTATTCATGTAACACGAGCCAAACTGGAGGGCGTTTGAGTGTCCCTAGCGTTCAAGCCCTCCTTGTGCCTTGCCCAGGGGCATCTGGCTGGAGAAGGCTGGGAAAGATAAGTCGTGTGCTCAGATCACAACAAGGCACTGTCTGGTGTTTCAAACTAACTCTACTACCACATTCCAGTCTATTCTTAGTGCTGCGCCAGCCCCCCCCCCGAAAACACACAAGCTGAGTAAGATTGGTGCTTAGGGGGGGTCAACAGTGGGAGGGCTTCTAATGTCCTGGTCTCACTGGTGGACCTCCTGATGGCACCTGGTATTTCTGGCCACTGTGTGACACAGAGTGTTGGACTGGATGGGCCTTTGGCCTGATCCAACATTGGCGTCTCTTATGTTCTTATGTTAAGATTAAACTTTTACAGAAGATTTTCATGCTGTCTTGTTAAAAAGGAGACTACCCAATACTGTTGTGTGTTTACTCTCTGATGCCTGTGGCTTATTCTATATCATACGTGGCAAAGGAAATGTTAATATGTCTTAGAGCCACTACCAAACTAGATGTGAGAGCAGCCAAAGATTCAACCTGCGGCTACTGACATCATTTTAGAGGCAAATTTAGCCCTTTTTAAAAATGCCATGAGCCCATGGTGTGGCAGCAACAGGCAATTTTGTTTCCCCCCAGCCCATGCCTTTTCAGGTGCTAAAACAGCACCCACCCAAGTGGTGGTGGTGGTGGAACAGGATCACCTGGTGCCACTGCACCATTGTGGCATTTTTTTAATGGCTCGATTATCTTCTAAAATGGCATCAGTGACCACAGGTTGGACCCATGGACACCGTAACATCTCGTTTGGCTCTTAGCAATGAAATATTTTTCCTCACAGGCCTTCAGTATTCAGAAATGGCTTTTTTCCAAGCACCTGTCAGAGCATGGAAGAGATGATCACCATCCGTCCAGGCTGAAGGGAAGGGAGCAGGTCTGTACCTGTGTAAAAAAAGAAAGAAAGAAGCTTCAGCCTTGCTACTGGAAGGGACAAAGAGACGCAAACAAACTTTGCTGTGGATTGGCTGAAGTACCTTGGGGGTGCAGCCAGGAGCTGTCCTTCTGGGGCTCTGATGAGGGGGTCTGATCTGCTACTCTGAAGGAGAGCCCCTGTGCCTCCACCTGTACTCAACCTGTTAATTTGTAAATACACCAAATGCTGCAAAAATGCCATACGTCTCCTGTGCTCTCTCTCCTCCAAAGGGAACCAACCCAGTTTAGTAGTAATTCCTGGAAATGTCACTGCTGCTTAGAGAAGTGAGGCACACATAACAATACAGCCGGCCAAAAGGGATTCTTTGAGAAACTGTAATGGGGTGTCCATTTCTAAGAGCCTAACTAAATGATGCACAGGGGAACTGATCTCTGTAGTCTGGAGATGAGCTGTGATTTGGGGGGGGGGGATCCCCAAGTCCCACCTGGAGGCTGGTATCCCTATGGCACAGAGATCTCCCACTATTCTCTAGCTGAGAATGCTAAAACCAATAGTTGATCAAATGTCCCAGCACCAGAACAGCCAAAAGCAGAAGGAAAATCTTGCAGACTTTACATCAAATGAAGTGGAGATTAATTCAGTCAGACAAGAGGCATACTGAGCAACAATTCTTAGGGTTCTTTAACAGCACCGTCCTTCTGAAAAACCTCTGAATGAAATCTCCCCCCCCCCTCTCCTCCCTTCCCCTCCTCTGTGATGTTTGGTTTTCAATATCTTTGCTTTCATTCCCTTCTTTCTTTCCACTGACCTGCACAGCTGTTTCTCTGCATGGATCCTGCAGCCCCAGGAATGATCCTTCTGGGGGATGGAAGAGGCTGGTCAGAACAAAGAGCAACACTGGGAAACCCTGCAAGCCTTCAATGCATGAAATAGGGGAAAAAACCCTCTTGGCTAATGCACTGACTATTAACCGAATACTCTTTAAATTGCATTTTGTTTGTTGGTTTTCCTTCCCCCCCTTGTAGGGAGGCAGCCTCCACCGCCCTTATGGAGGAGGTTCACTGCTTGTACAGAATATTTTTTTTAAACTCGTGGTTGTGCATATCAGATGAGAGGTGCAATATTCCAGTTTATAATGGCCGACTCACACATTAGGGAGAACATAGATTAGGTCTGGGTCCCCACCCCCGCGTCCTGTTGTACCAGCCACACAGGAGTTGCTCAGTTCATCCATGTCAGTGCCCAATTTGGATAGCAATTATGGCATGCTTGGAGAAGTGGCTGTCCCCCCCCCCCCCCCCCCCTACACACACCATTTTCCTGACCTGAAGTAGTCCATGGGGGTGCTGTTTGGACTGTCGGGGAAACCCAGAAGTATAAGCAGCAGAGAGGGTATTAATGTGCTATCTCTGCTTACCGAGCTTGTTCTATCACTTTAGGAACTTCTCATGAACCACTGGAGGAGAGGATAAGAGAGATGCTCTATAGGAGTACCCTGACCTGGATACCCCAGGCTAGCCTGATCTCTTCAGATCTCAGAAGCTAAGTAGTGCTTTTGGGTGTGACCAGGAGACCTCCAAGGAATACCAGAGTCACGACATGGAGCCGGGCAATGGGAAACCACTTCTGAATGCCTCTTGCCCTGAAAACCCCACAATGTCACCGTGAGTCAGCTGTGACTTGACAGCACTTTCCCCCCATACAGGAGTTCCGTCTGCATTATTTTTAAAAAGCTGCAGGCTGGGGAGAGGCGTCATTTCAAGGTTTCAAAAAGAATTAAGGTTGACATTACTTCCTTCGTTTTTCTACACTGTGCCTCTTGACTGGGCCAGAAGGTAGCACTCCAGCCCATTTCTTTCTTCCAACAATACATCAGCCATCTGTTTTGGAAGTCAACGGGGTGGGGGTGGGGGGGGAATGATCAGTGTGTGGGTCTGCAGCAGCGTCAGTGGGTTGTAGGGAACAGGGGTTATTTGCAATAGCTTCACTTCCCCAATGTCTCTTCTCCTAGCACCTGAAAGCTTTCTGTGGGGCCTATTATCCCTGCTCCTTCCGGTGTCCTGTGATCGGCTTGTCCAAAGCCAAAGACAAGTATAAATTCAGCTTATTACAATCAAGATGTTTGAAAAAAGCAAAGAACATCTTGCAGGAATTGTCACATCCTGAACATTCCCTGTTTGAACTGCTGCCTTCGGGCAGAAGATATAGGACAATTAAAGCAAGGACAAATAGATTAAAAAATAGTTTTTATTCGAGAGCTATTATTGCCTTAAATGCAGTATGAAATTGGAATTTGGGTGACATTGGTGGTTTTAAGTTGCTATGTGAACCATAAGGGAGTTATGGGACAGTTGTGAATGGTGTGTGAGAGTATATGAATATTGTTGTAGATCACCGAAATGATTGCATCTTTAATTTCGTTGTACTATGTACAATGACAATAAAGTATATTATTATTATTATTATTATTATTATTATTATTATTATTATTATTATTATTATTATTATTAGGATTAAATAGTTGTCATCTTCATTAGCAGTACATTCACACATTTACTGGAAGTGCCATTTATCTATTTCTGGTTTCATTTTAGAACAGGTACAGCTTATATTGATTTGTTATAGTGATGATGTTATTTATTGGGATACTGGAACCAGGCTGTCTTCTTGTGGCTGATACAAAGCAAGCAGACCAGCCAACTTTACTGAAAGAGGTGAAACTGACAGCCAGTCTGGCTGTCTCCAAGGTAGCTTCCATGGAGTTAATTCCATGGAATTAAACCGACCAGCTTGTAATCTGCCAGGTTGCTGGTTCTTTATCAGCCCGTTTGATTGCCTCTGAACTCCCCCCCCCCCAACAGTCCTCAGTAGGATCGCTGCTGCCATTCCTGGATGGTAATGCAAGCAACCACTCTTCCTCAGTCTAACCTACCTTACAAGGTTGTTGTTGTCAGGATAAAATGGTGGAGGGGAGAACAAGGTCATATGCCACTTTGGGTACCCCACTGGGGAGAAAAGTGGGGGTATAAATCAATCTAAAACAAAATGTAAAAACATTAACAATGCTACTCAGGCTTCAAGAACAGTAAACAAAGGGATTGGAGCACTCAAGCTCGAACTTGTCAACATCCTTCCTAAAATGTGGTGTCCGAAACTGGACACAGTACTCCAGGTGAGGCCTGACCATAGCAGAATAGAGCAGAACTACCACCTCCCGTGATCTGGACCCAGTGCTTCTGTTAATGCATCCTAAGATTGCATTAGCTTTCTGTTGGGTTTTCTTTGCAGTCACATCGCATTGCAGGCTCGTGTTTAGCTTGTGATCAACCAGAACACCTAGATCCCCTTCACATGTGCTGCTGTCAAGCTGAGTCCCTCCCATTCTATATCTGTGCCTTTGATTTTTTGTACCTACGTGTAAGACTTTGCACTTATCTCTATTGAAATTCATTTTGTCTCAGCCCACTGTTCCAGCCTATCTAGATCATTTTGAATCCTGACTCTGTCTTCTTCAGAATTAGCAATCCCACCCAGCTTTGTGTCATCTGCAAATTTGATAAGCGTAACCTCTATGTCTTCCTCCAGGTCATTTATAAAAATACTGAGCAACACCGGGCCCAGGACCGAGCCCTGCGGCACTCTACTCGAGACTTCCCTCCACTCCTGTCTGCCTCTAGATTAGGACACCAATCCCATGTTTGCTTACCTGGAAGTATTGAACCCGGTGTGGTGCATGGACTTGCTTGGGATCAGACTGCATGGGTTCACAATCCACTCCCTTCCTGAAACTTCTGCAACACCTAAGGTAGGCTGAATCCTTCCTCACCACATTCTTCCATCACCTCGCAGAAGTTATAACAGATGGATACCACATTCTGGAAATATAAAATTTAATTTTCTGAAAGCCACCAATGATGGAACCTGCAGCAAACTAAAATCTTGGCAGCTTGCAAGGTAGGGAACAATCTGTCATGGGCAGAAGCTTTCATGAAATTAAATATTGACACTGCTAATATGACTGTATATCATTTATGATGCCATTATCTCATTTTCTAAGTATTGCAGCATCTCAGCCAGCAGTTTGCCAAATATAGAATTTGGCATCAGAGAAACCAGAAAGCTTTTACAATTACAGTGTAGAAAGCACCTACCCAAGATCTTGGATACTAGGTTAAAGAAAGATTTCTATCATTTCTATTTAAAAAGTCAGAAGGATAAAGACTCATTTCTATCCTGCCCAGGAATTACTCTTCTAATGATAGGTAGGTAGGTAGGTAGGTAGGTAGGTAGGTAGGTAGGTAGGTAGGCAGGCAACAGACAGACAGACGGATGGATGGATGAATGGACGGACAGACGGACAGACAGATGATAGGTGATAGATAGATAGACCTATGATAGATGGTAGATCAATGATAGACAGATGATAGATGGACAGACAGATGATGATGATAGACAGACAGGTGATAAGTGATAGACAAATGACAGATGATAGTTCGGTGATAGGTGACAGATGATAGACAGACAGACAGATAGATAGACAGCCACAGACAGACAGACAGACAGTTCGGTGATAGGTGACAGATAGACAGATGATAGGTAGACAGATGATAGGTGATAGGTGATAGATAGACTGATGATAGATTGAAGATGGTAGATGATAGATAGATAGATTGATGATTGATGATAGTTGATAGACAGATAGGTGATAGGTGATAGCTAGACAAATGATGGATGATAGATTGATGATAGATGATAGGTAGATGATGATGATAGATATGTGATAGACAGATAGGTATATAGATGGACAGATGACAGATGATAGATTGATGATAGTGATAGGTGACAGACAGATGATAGATAGATAGATAGATAGATAGATAGATAGATAGATAGATAGATAGGTGATAGACAGATGATAGGTAGGTAGATAGATAGATAGATAGATAGATAGATAGATAGATAGATAGATAGATAGATAGATGGATGGATGATAGATAGATAGATAGATAGATTGATTGATAGACAGACAGACAGACAGACAGACGTTCTGCTTCAGAGCCTTACCTTGCAGTACATTTTTTCCAACTTGGGATATGCCAAATTTTACAAATCAATTTTAGAAATCACCTTTGCCAAATCATTGTCTCCTTTACTTCTTATTACTACAGGAGAATATGAAGAAATAGGCCTGAAACCACAGAAACCACAGGATCTCAAATAATGAGCAGTTGCCCAATCAAAATTCTGTGGTCAAAACTTCTGTTTCCCCACCCCCCATTACTTGGTCCACAGTATACATGGTTTGCCACAACATAAACACTGAATTACCATCAAACACAGTTTACCTCCATACCAGAACCAGAAGCACCCTTCAAACTGTAGTTTGGAGGCAAACTACAGTTTGCAGTAATCATAGGATGTTTCCACATGAAGGTGGAAAAGCTACTCCTACTGTGTGGAAACAGCATTGATTGCAGTGGAGCTGGGCAGAGACAGGGTCCAGATGCCCCTTCCCCATGCCAGTCACTGTTGGTCCATATGCCCCACCACTCCCATCCATTGCTTCAGTGCTTCTCTGAGAATCTCACCCCATTCGTGGCCTGGGAACCCCCCTACTCTCTTCACAACTGAGCTGTGACTAAAAAGAAGCACATTAAAAAGTTGAAAGGGGGACACAAGCAGCTGAGCTCAGCCATATTGACAGCCGATCTTAGTTCGGGCCCCATCCCCAAACTGGCCGCAAGCAGAGCTTCTACACAGCAGCACTGTCCACACTTTCCCTGCTGTAATTTGTGGCAAAAGAAGGGATTCCCTACTCCTGCTTTAAAGGGGAAAGCCCCAGGAAAAATCCCATGTGGAAGCAGTCATAGTTTGCCTGATTCAGTTCATGGCAAGCTATGGCTACTGTGAATCAGGAAGTGGAGGAAGGAATGGGAATGTACAAGGGAAGGGGGAGGGTGACAGGTGGGGGTATGTATGCAGCCCCAGAGCACATTCCTGATAGCCAGACTTTGGCTGTGAAATCTAAATCAGGCATTTATGGCATCACACATGGGATAAGTACAGCAGAACGATTAGTCATGTATGCACCAGAAACAAAACTGGGAACAAACACATTACCTATGAATTATGAATCACTCAGAAACCCAATCAAGTCCTCTAAAAATGGCCAAATTCCCTGTGGAAACTCAGAAGCAGGACATGATGGAGACAGTTGTCTGCTGATGTTTGTCCCCAGAAGCTGACAATTGTCGGTAAAATGCCTCTGAACACGGTGGTTTTTACTATCACTGACAGACCTATTTTCCATGAAATTGCCTAATCCTCAATGCTACCTAGGCTATTAGCTATCATTACACTGAATGACATTTGGCTCCATAAGTTAATTAGGTATCATGAGAAGAAGCATTTTCTTTTAATTTTCCTAACCCTATTGCTAAATGTGGCAGAATTTTGGAGACTTGGTCATTATGTATAAGGTATATTGAATGGATGTAGCAAAAACAGACTTTGGTCTCTTCCCATGAAGCATTGCAGTATGTCCAATGCCTGCTTCCTAGTAGCAAAATGGTGCCTGGCTGTGAACAAACTGTTTTCCACACATACCTTTAGCCAAAATGCACTAAGACCCAAGGCTGAATATCTAGAGATTTTTGCCTATACCTCATCTGCTCTGGCCAGAGGCTTTGACCTAACTGATAGCCCTTAGGGACGAAAAGTTTATGGTTTTATGGTGCCATCAAGGGGAAGGGTCTGGCTACTGGTGCGCTCATGACATTCCCACGGGATGTTTGATGTATGTGTTTTATTATCTTGTAAAAGGGAAGAAACATTGTCAAGGTTCCGTTGTTCAGCTTCACCTCCTGAACGCCCTTTTGGGGTCTTCGGGTGGTGGTGAAGAAATGTCTCTTTCTTGTGTACACTGCCATTTTTGGTGAATGCTCTGAGGTTTTTTCTATTATGGTAAGGTTCAAATAGACAGATTGTACTGCAGTCTTGTGTTCTCTTCTCTTTCCTACCAAGGCTTGGTGTTCTGCCAGAATCCCATCCAGCCTAGTGAACCCAAGTGAAGCTGTAACACCAGGTGGAAGCCTGGTGACCACGTAAAAAGTCTTCTTTTCTGCTACAGTAACATTACGAGTGGATGATCCCAAGGTCTGGTATTTTGGAAACTTCATGTACTGAGAATTTTTATTTACATTTCATTCACCATTCATAAGTGAAACACTCTAATATGTCTCCTCTCTATATTATAGTTGAGTCCAGTAGCAGCTTAGAGACCAACAAGATTTCCAAGGCATAAGCTTTTGAGAATTAAAGCTCACTTCATCAGATATGTCAGATCTTCATTCCTACTCATATCTGATGAGGGGAGAACTTTGACTCTCAGAGCTCATACCCTGAACATCTTGTTGGTCTCTTGGGTGCTATTGGACTCAGCAGTTTGGCTACCAGCTCTGAGGGAAAAGAATCTCTAATTATTGCTTAGGAGTAAAAAGGTTATATGCTGGACCATGCAAGTAGACAGGAATTCTTGGGAGTGTTTTAAACAAGAGTAGACCATGCCATTTTAATTTGAGCCACTTCAGATTTTAGACACAAGTTTTATATATTCTAACTTGGGTTCAATTTACAAATAAAACATTAAACTTTTGAATTACTTATAATTAGTAGATGTATGGAATATTTTTTCAACTCCCTCTCATGTGTAATTAATGGCCCTTGTCTGGAAGCGAGAGCTTTTTTCCAGGTGACTTTTTAAAAAGTGCACATCCTTTCCTTGTTGGGATTATATGTCTAGTGGCCCTGATCCCACCAGTATAACAATACTGTGCCCTAGTCTAATAGAAAGGAGATGATAGCTTTGCTGTAAGGGTGGGGGAGAGACATACTTAAAATTTAAAACTTTTCTTTGAAACCCACAATACAGACCAGCTGGCCTGCACTAGAGAGAGAAAAACGAACAAGGACTATATAAAATGAAATACAAATAAAAATGTAAAAGGTCTTGCAACACAGACTTTCTTTTTTATTAAAACTACACTTCCTGCACTTAAGTGCAGAAGTGCACACAGGCAATACATTTATGAATAAATACAACTTTCAAGTAATTTTCTGGTGCTGCTTCTTTGCTTTTAACAGCTGCATGGAAGGCACAGAGTAGAGACGGTCAGGGAATCAGATTTAAAAAGATACCCTGTTCTGTAAAGTTAGGCCTCAGATGGAGAACTTACAGCAGCCCAAGGGTGAAAGCAGGCCCATACCCAGAAAACTTTTTTTAGGGGAAGCCCCAAGGGGGCAGTTTAGTACAGTGTAACTGACTACATCACAGGGTTGTTGTTGTTAGGGAAATATAGAGGAGGAGAGACATCGCAAGGTAAGAGCTGACAGGCAAAACGGGGGTGGGTGGGAGCAGCAGCACCTAGGGCAGTTTGGAAATAATAAAGGTCAGGATTTGTGCCTAGGAGTTGTATTCTCTCTGAAGCGCTGTGCACAGCTCCGGAATCAAAGCCTACCCCCAGAAGATCCAAGATGTCTGGCAAGCATTGCTGAAGGAGCTGGGAGACCTCCTCGAGGTTTTACAGACACAACCTGGTTCTGTTAGCTAGCTAGCAGGAGCAGGACAATAACCCCCTGAGCAGCCCCTTAACCCCTGGGGCCAACTGTCTATTCTCCTCAAATCCCCTTCCTACAACCCCCTCCGCTCCCCGCTTTTGCAGGGAATCTGAGAGGAGAGCAAAGACAGGAACTTTGTTTTGAACTTCCCGAAGCAGCTCAGGCAGTACAGTCGCACCAACAGCAAGCCAAGTGGGCTTAGACGTGTCTCCCCTCCCCCGGCAAGCCAGGCGGGCACTTC